TTAGAAGAACCAGGGAAGGAGTGGGGCATGGTGGCTTATGCCTGCAATCCCAGCACTTTGGGAGGCTGAAGCAGGCAGATCACTTTGAGCTCAGGAGTTGGAGACCAGCCTGGGCAAAATGGTGAAACTGTCTCTTAAAAAAAAAAAAAGGCCGGGCGCGGTGGCTCAAGCCTGTAATCCCAGCACTTTGGGAGGCCGAGACGGGCAGATCACGAGGTCAGGAGATCGAAACCATCCTGGCTAACACGGTGAAACCCCGTCTCTATTAAGAAATACAAAAAACTAGCCGGGCGAAGTGGCGGGCGCCTGTAGTCCCAGCTACTAAGGAGGCTGAGGCCGGAGAATGGAGTGAACCTGGGAGGCGGAGCTTGCAGTGAGCTGAGATCCGGCCACTGCACTCCAGCCTGGGCGACAGAGCGAGACACCGTCTCAAAAAAAAAAAAAAAAAAAATCACACCACTATACTACAGCCTGGGCAACAGTGAGACCCTATCTCAAAAAAAAAAAAAAAGAAAGAAAAAAAAAGGCAAGGCACAGTGGCTCACATCTGTAATCCCAGCACTTTGGGAGGCTGAGACGGGCTTACCACCTGAGGGCAGGAGTTCGAGACCAGCCTGGCCAACATGGTGAAACCCCATTTCTACTAAAAATAAAAAAAATTAGCCAGGCATGGTGGAATGCGCCTATAGTCCCAGCTACCAGGGAGGCTGAGGCAGGAGAATTGCTTGAACCAGGGAGGCAGAGGTCACAGTGAGCCGAGATCATGCACTGTACTCCAGCCTAGATGATAGAGTGAGACTCTGTTGAAAGAAAAGAAAAGAAAGAAAAAAGAGAGAGCGGGAGAGGGAGACAGAAAGAAAAGAGAAAAAAAAGGAGGAGAAGGAAGGGAGGGAGAGAGAGAGGGAGGGAGGGAAGGAGGGGAGGAGGAGGAGGAAGAAGAAAGAAAAGAAGGGCAACAACCAGGGGAAGAATATGGATGAATCAGCCCAAATTTATCATCATCACTGTGCCTTTCTGGTGACAGGTCAGTGGTGATATCCTCTTTGAGGATGACTCCCTGCAGTACTAATGGCAGCACAAGAGTGCCAGAACTGGATGACAGCTCACTCATTGCAGCCTAGAAAAAATTCTGGGCACACTAGGCTGAATGATAAGCTCCTTGGCATGCTAGCCAAAATCAGCTTAAAAGAGGGCTGGCTACCTGGGTACAAGAGAACCCTTATTTTGGGTTGAAAAGCAGAAGCTTCCCAAGAGGGAGGATACACTGAAGCTGAAGGTATGGCAGTCCCCCCAACCAATTAGGCTGGGGATGAAGGCTGCTTAGTTGGACTAGGAAAAGTAGTGGATACTGGATTCCAGAGTGGGCCATGTTGGGAGGAGCACGGTAGAATGTGATCTAAGGGGACTAAGACATTTTGGGCTGAGCTAGGCTATAGGAGAATGGTAGACAGACCTGAGGATTTTGCCGAGCTGTGTCAGTCTGGGTTATGGGAGGGGGTGGAAATTACAGCTAAGGGACTTGGAGATGAGGGAAGGTAAGAAGACAGATCTGATGGTATTGAGGTAGGGGCTGGAAAGAGAAGCATCAAACAGGAGGGCTAGCCCAGGTTTGAGCTGGACACTCCACTGACAGTTCTAAAGCAGAAAATTAGGGAAGGAATAGTCAGGGGCTATTGGGCTATGCAGTAGCTTCTAGAAGTCAACAGCTGGCTCTGGGAGGGAAAAGATTGAGAAAAACAAAATAAATAAATGAGAGCAGAAGGTATGAGGGGAAAAAGTAGGGGTGAGAGTTATCAGGCTGGTTAGAGCTGGGCTAAACATTTAGTCTTATCATTAGTTTGAAAGCACCTGGACCAGTTAGTTGCTGTATAGGCAAAGTCAAAGGGAGAAGCCTGGCCTCACTTTACTCAGTCATGGTTCATGACTTTAGGAGACTGTAATGAACCATGCATACCAGGAAAGGAAAAGGTTAACTGAGGTTGGAAAAAAAGCTTTATGTGGCACTTTTAAACAAGCAGGTTGGTTTGGCTTGTGTGACTGTGATGGTGCCTGATTTGGAGCAGAGCAATTTGTGTTGTGACATTTTAAAATCCATTTTGGCACACGGTGATGAATGTGTCGACTGGCAGCTAAGAACTTGCTAGAATGCAAGTATGCAAGTCTTTCAGCATTTATAATCGACACTTCCCTTTCCAGGAAAGAGCCTTTCTAATCTTCGAATCAGTGGACTTATCAATTTGCATAAAATATGCCATCCTCAATGAACACATATTTATCATCTACCACTTAACTTTCCTTCTGTTTAAAAAAAAAAAAAAAAAGCAGAATCACCTTGCTGTGAGTCAGCAGCTTTAAATTCAGCTGTGCTGGGTGAAGCTGTTAAGGGTAGGAAGGAGCCACCACTAGAAGGGGGAGGAGCAGGAATAAAATGATCCTTTTCTATTTCCATGATTTTTTATGTTTCTATTTAAATGGTTAAATACCCATTTAGGTTAGATGCTAATTAAATGTAAAATTACTGGGCTGTTCCAATATGCATGTTAAAGTTGTACTTCTTGGTTGTTTGTAATTTACCTAACTCTTGAGAGATCCTCAGAACAGCCCAGCTGAGTTCAAAGAAGGCTTCCAACTGCCCAGGATACGCATCAGTTCCTGAACTAAAAAAGAACACCCCAGGATCAACAGAAGCTACTATCAAATCCTTCAAACACTACATGCGCCACATGCTCACATTTGTCTTGTTTTTGCTACTACTTATCCACAAAAAAGCCAACCCTGAACTCCTTCTTGGGGTGAAAACTTTAAAATATACCAAATGAATCAGTTCAAAATTTTACAAATTTGTTTGGTTTAATCATAACTGATTCTTCATACTATTGACAGCATTGATTCTTCACACCATAGATACCACTCACTAAAACTACAACTCAGTCACCTCTTCCCATATACCATATTTCATTAAAATCAACGTAAGATAAGAAATGGTTACCAGATGCCATCGTTTAAGACCAAACCATAGGTCAAATTTTGAATAAACCTAACAATACCTGATTGGTTAAGTAGCACACCTAGATTTATTAAAATCACTGCAGTCCTTTAATGTCTATAGGAGAACATGCATGCACAAGCACACACATGTGCATGTGCATTATATATATATGTATATATAAATACTACTGCAAAGTTAAAAAGAGACTTTACCAAGTTCTGTCATTGACAGGGACATTATATATAAGACTATACATACTGTAATTCACCTCATCAAGAGTTAATTTTATGGCCGGGCACAGTGGCTCATGCCTGTAATCCTAACACTTTGGGAGGCAGATCACTTTGAGCTCAGGAGATTGAGACCAGCCTGGGCAACATGGCAAAAACCCAACTCTACAAAAAAGCACAAAAATGATCTGGGCATGATGACTCCCACCTGTAGTCCCAGCTACACAGGAGGCTGAGGCTGGAGGATTGCTTGAGCCAGGTAGCAGAGGTTGCAGTGAGCCAAAATTGTACCACTGCACTCTGGCCTGGGTGACAGAGCAAGACTTTGTCTCAAAAAAAAAAAAAAAAAAAAGTTAATTTTACCAGGAACATGTGTCAAAATGTAAAATTATGTGAACTCTTTGACCCAGCAATGCTATTTTCAGGGATATATCTTAAGATCATCACCAGTAAAGTATATAAAGATGTGCATGTAAGAATATTCATCATGGCTTTCTTTATACAATGAAAAATTGTAAATAAACTGCTCATTAATGGGATGCTGGTTAAAGAAAATCATTAATGTGGCCGGGCGCGGTGGCTCAAGCCTGTAATCCCAGCACTTTGGGAGGCCGAGACGGGCGGATCACGAGGTCAGGAGATCGAGACCATCCTGGCTAACACCGTGAAACCCTGTCTCTACTAAAAATACAAAAAACTAGCCGGGCGAGGTGGCGGGCGCCTGTAGTCCCAGCTACTCCGGAGGCTGAGGCAGGAGAATGGCGTAAACCCGGGGGGCGGAGCTTGCAGTGAGCTGAGATCCGGCCACTGCACTCCAGCCCGGGCTACAGAGCAAGACTCCGTCTCAAAAAAAAAAAAAAAAAAAAAAAAAGAAAATCATTAATGTAATATGCAGCCATCTAAAAGGGTAATTTTTACATATAGATATAAGAAAACCCTCATGTCATATTGCTGAGTAAAAAGAAAGATGTCAATGAGTATTCATGATGTGATTCTATTCATCCTTGTAAATGGTGGAAATTCAATTATATGGTATTTTCTCTCTTTTCTGTTTATTTTTCATATAAGTATATATTTCCCTTAAAATCCGAAAAAAAATCAAGCTATTTTCATCAGAGGAAAAAAATCATTACTCTGTATTTCAGTCACACTAAAATAGTCATCCAAGAAGCCAATTGTAGCTCTTTTATTTCTGTGCCTTCTGTTGGAAGGAAAACTGTATATAAACAGACCATATTACAGAGAAAATTTGAATGAATGGTGTCTAGTGCCTAAACCAAAACAGAGGTGAAATATTATATAAACTGAAGAGGATGACTTTATCATAGTGTTCGAAATAATTCTGTGTGTGTGTGTGTGTGTGTGTGTAGATATATACTAGTATATTTTCATTACTAACCAAAAACATAATGTAGGTTCCAAATGGCAGCAAAGAATATAATTACCTTTGGCTTTTCTTACATAAGTTACCACCCCATAAATCTTTATGTTAATGTGGAAAAATCTGACCTGAACAGATGGACCTCATGCTGTTCTCTAAAACATGAACAGATTTCTGATCTTCTGGACCAGGAAATGAAGTCAGCACTAAAACAGGAGACACCATCATCCATCTCCTAGAATTTCAATCTAAGAATCTGTAATAAAAGCAATATTTCCCTCTATAGAAATATAACTAAGTAATATATTTGCGTCTTAATGAAATGTACTCTTGATATGATAAAACACAGTGGGATATTTATGGCACTGGTGGTGCTGGCTATCTGGTCCCTGAACCTCACCAATTTTGGAGAATCCCCTTGCTGTGGTTCTTGGCAGGTAGTAGCATTTGGCTTGATGCTCCCAAGCTTCTTATGGAAGGCACATCTCTGGGGCTGACACTCTGCCTGGATAAATCTTCATCTCATTAGCCCAAGGGCCTTTTTTTCCATGAGCATTTTCATAGAAGCTGTTTCACAAATCAACTCCATTGGTGTTGAAGACCTAATAAAGGGCTCTCTATCAAGTAATTACAGCACTGAGGTTTAAATTTCTGCTCCACAATTTTCTAGTTGTTTGATTTATGTTGGGAAGAGACTGGTGGGATAAGCAGGTGTGAGTCTGAGGAACAATTAAGGAGTTGGCCTGTGAGGTCAAGAGATTGGTTACATAAAAGAAGAATGAGTAAATAGTTAAATATATCAAGGATAATGGAAGTCAGATTTTTTTTACCAAGAGAGAAGGAAGTTACAAATACAATAAGGGTGAAGACTAGAATGAACCCTGTAGTGTTGGAGTAGAGCTAGAGATATTGGAGTAAATTCATGAGTTTTAATATAAATAGACAGAAAGATATATAAATAGATATAGGGGTGTGTGTGTGTGTGTGTGTGTGTGTGTGAATTCCCTAGCTCTGTCTGCTAAAATGACCTAAAAACAGTAACACTCCAGTAGCAATGACCACACCTAGCATCCAGATCTTGGTTCTAAAAATGCATTCTCAAGTAAAAGGAACCAGAGTTCAGTGGAGAAACAGCTGATGAAATAACTGCAATGATTGTGGCAGAAAAAATATCAGAAGAGCCTGAAATGTCTTGCACCCCAAAGAAAGTACTCTCAGAATGACATAGAGATGTCAAAAGGACACAGGAACTGGCTTGAAGGGTATCCCAATGGCTGGAACTGGAGCATTTTCAGCATTAAAACCAATGGTGATAGTAATGGCTTATAATCTATTGGGTAAAATAGAAATCCACAAGTCCATGCTGATGGAAATAAGCAAATAAGAAGGGAGAGGAAAAAACTTCTATACAATATAATCCCAACTAGTAAATGGAAAACAAATGTTTTAATTGGAAAAACTACAATTTGGCAATCATCCTAGTAACAATTTATGCAAGAATCATAAAATAAGCAAGTGACAGTTTAAGAAACCGGATGTTTACATAGCCTCAAAGTGTCCTCCTACAAAATACTTATTAATTCAAAGGGAAAGAGAATAACTTAACAGTGGAGAAATTATCACCTTAAGCCATCAAAGTTAACATCACCAGCAAAAAGACAAGTCAATATTATGTGCCTTTTAATATGATACACTTGGAAGAATACAATTTCACTTCTATCACATTCCTGCCAAAAAATGTATTACCTGAATCTAATCATGAAGAAACATCAGACAAACCTAAAATGAGGAACTCTGCAAAAAAAAAGAAAGAAAGAAAAGAAAAAGAAGGAAGGGAGGGAGGGAGGGAGGGAAAGGCCTGAACTCAAAAATGTCAAGGTCACTAAAAACAAGGAAGGATTGAGGAAATGTCACAAATTAAAGATTAAAGAGACATAACAACTAAATGCAATTCATAATCCTGACTTTGATTCTAGACCAAAAGTAAGAAATATTTTTTCAAAGAGGAAACTGTTTGACCAAATGACAAATTTTGAATGTGGTCTGTGGATTAGAGGAATTATATCAACGTTAAATTTCTGATTTTGGTGATAATACTGTGGTTATGCAGGAGAGGGTCCTGGTCTTAAAGGAAAACACTTAAGTAGTTAAGGATAATTGAATATCACCTCTGCAACTTACTTCAATTGGTTCAGAAAAAGAGAATGAATGGCAAAACAAATGTAAAATGTTTACAATTGGAGAACTTGGGTGAAGAATAATAAAAGAGTTATCTTTTACTCAGGAGTTTGTTGTACTATATTTGCAACTTTTACATACGTTTGAAATTATTTCAAAATAAAAAGTTAAGAAAATGGCAATAACAGTATTTAATTCTTTGGATTTTGGGTAAAAATACATGAATTAGTATTTGTGGTATGTTTATAACAGAGCTAGACACATAATAAATGCTAGATATATGTTAGCAATGATGGTGATAGACAATGGTGGTGGTGGTGGTGGTGGTGAAGTCCTGAATTTTAAACACACAATTTGTCCAGGCGCAGTGGCTCATACCTGTAATCCCAGAACTTTGGGAGGCCAAGGCAGTCTGATCACCTGAGGTCAGGAGTTCAAGACCAGCCTGGCCAACATGGTGAAACCCTGTCTCTACTAAAAATACAAAAATCAGCTGGGTGTGGTGGCAGGTGCCTGTAATCCCAGCTACTCAGGAGGCTGAGGCATGAGAATCGCTTGAATCCAGGAGGCCAAGGTTGCAGTGAGCAGAGATCACGCCATCGCACTGCAGCCTCAGTCACAAGAGTGAAATTCCATCTCAAAAATAAATAAACAATAAACACACAATTCATCTGAATTGGGATGAGTTGACTCTGGCTCACTTTTCTCCTTTTAGATTTAACAAAGAAATTAAAATAGTATTTACTTGCATTTGACATGCTAACAACAATGTCAATTTGTTTATTGCAATTTAAACACTGTTCATATAATGTTTTATATACTAGTGTCCCCAAGCAAAAGACATGTTAGTAATATTTTTTAAATAATCCAAGATCAAATTTTTAAAAATCCATTTTCACCTTTCATTAATTTAGGCAATATGGTGATAATGAGAATATGCAATACATAAATATATACATATATTAACATATTTAATAAAGGTAAATAATATACAATGCTATTGTATACGGTTACTATACAACACCATATACAATACAATAGCATTGTATATTATTAACCTTTATTAAATATGTATGTTAATATATATTACAATACATAGAATTAAAGACCATGAGAGTTTAAAAGACTTTGGGGATCATCTACTCCAATTCCTTTGAGAGTAACTGTATCCTCTCTCTACAGCAGGGGTCCCAACCCTCAGGGCATGAACTAGTACTGGTCCGTGGCCTGTTAGGAACTAGGCCACACAACAGGAGGTGAGTGGAGAGCAAGTGAGCATTACTGCCTGAGCTCCACCACCTGTCAGATCAGCAGTGGCATTATATTCTCATAGGAGCACAAACCCTATTGTGAACTGTGCATGTGAAGGATCTAGGTTGCATGTTCCTTATGAGACTAATGCCTGATGATCTGAGGTGGAACCATTTCATTCTGAAACCATTAGTGAGCACACCCCTCACCCCGCTGACTCCTTCCATGGAAAAACTATCTTCCATGAAACCAGTCCCTGGTGTCAAAAAGGTTGGGGATCACTGCTCTATAGCATCCCCATCAAATAGTAGTTTCTGATTGACCACCTACAATGACAGGAAACACTCCTTCTCAGAACAGCCAATTGGAAGTCATTCCTGATTGTTAGAAAGTTACTTTTTAACAATGAGTCAAAATCTTTCTCCATGTAATTTCCAGAGGCTGCTACTATACATGTCTTCTGAGGTCACAAATTGATTCCCTCTTCCACATAACATTTCGATAACAAAAACTACTATTCCCTACCCTCCTCAACTAAGTTCTCCCACTGTAAGTTTCCTCTTCTCCAAACTGAATATCCCCCGAGTTTTCAATTATTCCATGTATAATCATGGCTTTCAGTCCTCTCACTATCTTAACCACTCTCCTCAGTTTCTATACTTTGTCCTGTTCAGGGGGATTTTGTTTCTATGAAGGCAGTCTGAGATCACATCAGCTATCTTGCAATCTCATGCATTCATGATTATTCCTTCATTCAGTCAGTATTTATAAGTGCCTGTGATGTGGAAGGCACCATGCTAAGATATTATAAGAGACAAGACCAAGAAGACATAAGCTTTCTCTTAAGGAACATACATGTTAATGGGTGAGAAAAGATGTATGGTAATAAATGCCACAAAACAGACACAAGTACTATGCACATTAAAGGAAGGAAATTATACAATTAACTATAGATTTGCTTTAACATAAGAATATGGGAGAACAAAGCAAAAGTAATGACAATTTCAGCCTAGAACTAATTTGTTTTGGGATAGCATGAGAATTGGTGAAAAGGAGCAGTTTGAGATTTAAACTACACTAAAAGAAAAACTTCTAGATTAGAAGAATGATCACACAAATGCAGAAGACACAAAGAGTTTATACAGTTTTTTAACCCTTGAGAGCTCTGACAACAGGAATAATAATTATTTGTGCAGAGTGATTTACATGCAATTCTTTAAATAGGCAAAAAAAAAAAAAAAGACTAGACTCAAGCACTTTACATGTATTATCTCACTTAAACCCACAAGTTCAACAAGGTAGGTACTAGTATTACTCCTTTTTTAAAAAAACTTAAATGAAGCTCAGCAAGGTTTGGTGACTTGCCCAAGCTTACCAAGGTGCTAAATAGTGCAGTCAGGCTTCAAACCCAGGCTGTCACCTTCCAGGCCATTCGTTTACAACTTGAGATTATCAGCTACTTAATGCCCAACAAAGCAATCTCTGGCAAATTCCCACCCACGTGTCTAAAACTTCCCTGGTGGCCTACTTGTAAAACCCCTCACTGAACAATCTGTTCATTCTCTGGATTCTAGAACACTTTCTACAGGGCTCTACATTCATCCTTGACATACTGTATCATTGTGAGGTGCCTATATACCAGTATCCCCTGATAAAGTGTTACCACTCCAAGAAAAGGCATTATGTATGTCTTTATCTTTCTTCTTAGTATCTCCAACTCCTAGCTCAGTGTAAGACTCAACAAATGCTGGGAGAATGAATGAGTCCTCTGGCTTAGCTGACATGCTTTGGAGAAAGTCACCTTCTTAACCAAGCACCTCTAATTCTGGATCTAATTAGTTGTAGTGCAGAGCTTTGGTTGTCACAGTTGTGCAACCTAACTCTGTCTTGTATCTCCTAACTCTGAAGTGAGGGAATCCAATAAGCAATGTGAGTATCTGGCTGTTGTCCACCATCCTCTTCAGCAGCCTCATTCATTTTTCAGGGTCTTCACTCACATTTACAACAGTGGCCAGCCAGAGTTACACAGAAACCAGAGGCAAAATAAATGGGAAATGAGATCACCTAATATTTCTTCTTTCCTTCATTGAGTTCCTAAAGTAAAAGAGTTCAGTAAAGTTGCTGATACTTTGGGGTCTTAAATAAAAGAGAGATACAAAGCAAGTGATTTTATACAGTTAGAAAATGATTAAACACACTTTAGTAAAGATGGCAGGCATGTGGATTGAGTTCATATATGGTTATAACTATAAAATAGTGTTAAGCTGAAAAATGCAATTGACATACTGAAGAATGCATGAGAGTCTCTTAACAGCAGAACTCTTAAAGTAGAAGAAAAAATTACTGAGATTAAAGACAGGCTATTTGAACATACACTGTCAGAAGAGCGAAAAGAAAAAAGAATAAAAAGAAATGATGTGGGCTGGGTACAGTGGCTCATGCCTGTAATCCCAGCACTTTGGGAGGTTGAAGTGGGCGGATCAGCAGGTCAGGAGACCGAGACCATCCTGGCCAGTGTGGTGAAACCCAGTCTCTACTAAAAATACAAAAAGTAGGCCAGGCACGGTGGCTCACGCCTGTAATCCCAGCACTTTGGGAGGCCGAGGCGGGCGGATCACGAGGTCAGGAGATCGAGACCATCCTGGCTAACACAGTGAAACCCCATCTCTACTAAAAATACAAAAACATTAGCTGGCCGTGGTGGCGGGTGCCTATAGTCCCAGCTACTCGGGAGACCGAGGCAGGAGAATGGTGTGAACCCGGGAGGCGGAGCTTGCAGTGAGCCGAGATTGTGCCACTGCGCTTCAGCCTGGGCGACAGAGCAAGACTCTGTCTCAAAAAAAAAAAAAAAAAAATACAAAAAGCTGGACGTGGTGGTGCGTGCCTGTAATCCCAGCTACTTAGGAGGCTGAGGCAGGAGAATCGCTTGAACCCGGGAGGCAGAGGTTACAGTGAGCTGAGATCGGGCCACTGCACCCCAGCCTGGCGACAGAGCGAGACTCCGTCAAAAAAAAAAAAGACAAAGAAAAAAAAGACTGTATGTCTACAAATCTAGAAAACAGCCTCAAAAGGGCAAATCTCAGAGTTATTGGCCTTAAAGAGGAGATGGAGAAAGAGATAGAGGTAGAAAGTTTATTCAAAGAAATAATATGAGAACTTCCCAAACCTAGAGAAAGAGATCAATATTCAAGTACAAGAAGGCTATAGAACACCAAGCAGGTTTAACCCAAAGAAGACTACCTCAAGGCACTTAATAATCAAACTCCCAAAGATCAAGGATAAAGAAAGGATCCTAAAAGCAGCAAGAGAGAGGATACAGTTACTCTCAAAGGAATTGGAGTAGATGATCCCCAAAGTCTTTTAAACTCTCATGGTCTTTAATTCTATGTATTGTAATATATATTAACATACATATTTAATAAAGGTTAATAATATACAATGCTACTGTATTGTATATGGTGTTGTATAGTAACTGTATACAATAGCATTGTATATTATTTACCTTTATTAAATGTTAATATTTAATATTAACAGCATATAATGAAGCTCCCATATGTGTGCCAGTAGACTTTTCAGTGGAAACCTTACAGGTCAGGAGATAGTGGCATGACATACTTAAAGTGCCAAGGGGGAAAAAAAATTTACCCTAGAGTAGTATAGCTGGTGAAAATATCCTTCAAGCATGAAGGAGAAATAGTTTCCTAGACAAATAAAAGTCAACACCAGACCTTTTCTACAAGAAATGCTAGAGGGAGCTCTTCGATCTGAAAGAAAAGAACATTAATCAGCAATAAAAAATAATCTAAAGGAGGCTGGGCGCAGTGGCTCACACCAGCACTTTGGGAGATTGAGATGGGCGGATCACAAGGTCAGGAGTTCAAGACCAGCATGGCCAATATAGTGAAACCCCGTCTCTACTAAAAATACAAAAATTAGCCGGGCATAGTGGTGGCCGCCTATAGTCCCAGCTACTCAGGAGGCTGAGGCAGGAGAATTGCCTGAACCCGGGAGGCAGAGGTTGCAGTTAGCCAAGATGGCACCACTGCACTCCAGCCTGGTGACAGAGCGAGACTCCATCTAAAAAAAAAAAAAAAAAAAAAACAGTCATCTAAAGGTACAAAACTCACTAGTAATAGTAAGCACACAGAAAAACATAGAACATTATAACACTATAATTGTGGTATGTAAACTACTCTTATATAGAAAGATTAAATGATAAACCAATCAAAAATAACTTCAAGACATAGTACAACAGAAGTAAAGAGAAACAACAAAAAGTTAAAAAGCAGAAGGATAAAGTGTAGAGTTTTTATTAGTTTTCTTTTTGCATGTTTATGCAATCTTTGTTGTCATCAGTTTAAAATAATGAGTTAAAAGACAGTATTTGCAAGCCTCATGGTAACCTCAAGTCAAAAACATACAACAGATACACACAAAGCAAGAAATTAAATCATGCCACAAGAGAAAATCACCTTCACTAAAAGACAAGAAGGAAGGTAAAAAGGAAGAGAAGACCACAAAACAACCAGAAAACAAATAACAAAATGGCAGAAGTCCTTACTTATTGATAACATTGAATATAAACAGACTAAATTCTCCAATCAAAAGACATAGACTGGCTGAATGGATTAAAAAGCCAGACCCAGTGAATCTATTTCCTACAAGAAACACACTTCACCTATAAAGATACACATAGACCGAAAATAAAGGGATGGAAAAAGATATTCCATGCCAATGAAAACCAAAAAAGGACAAGAGTAGCTATACTAATATCAGACAAGATAGATTTCAAGACAAAAACTGTAAGAAGAGACAAAGAAGGTCATTGTATAATAATACAAGGGTCAATTCTTCAAGAGGCTATAACAACTATAAATAAATATGTACCCAGTGTTGAAGCACCCAGATATATAAATTAAACATTGGAGCGAAAGAGAGATACCTCAATACAATAATAACTGGAGACTTCAACACCCCACTTTCAGCACTGGACAGATCATCCAGACAGAAAATAAACAAAGAAACATTTAACTTAATCTGCAATATAGAACAAATGGACCTAATAGATATTTACAGAACATTTCATCCAACTGCTGTAGAATACATATTCTCCTCATCACATGGATCATTCTCAAGAATAGAATACATGTTAGGTCACAAAACAAGTCTTAAAACATTAAAAAGGCCAGGTGCAGTGGCTCACGCCTGTAATCCCAACCCTTTGGGAGGCTGAAGTGGGCAGATCACCTGAGGTCAGGAGTTCGAGATCAGCCTGGCAAACATAGCAAAACCCCGTCTCTACTGAAAATGTAAAAATTAGCTGGGCATGGTGGTGCACACCTGTAATCCCAGCTACTCGGGAGGCTGAGGCAGGAAAATCGCTTGAACCCAGGAGGTGGAGGTTGCAGTGAGCCGAGATCTTGCCACTGCACTCCAGACTGGGAGACAGAGCAAGACCCTGTCTCAAAAAAAAAAAAAAAAAAAAAAAAATGGAAATTAAGCAATGGAAATTAAACACGGAAATTAAGCAATATGCTCCTGAATGACCAAGAGGTCAATGAAGAAATTAAGGAAATTGAGACATTTCGTGAAACAAATGGTAATGGAAACACAACATACCAAAAGCTATGAGATACAGTGAGAGCAGTACTAAGATGGAAACTTATGGCTATAAGTGCCTACATCAAAAAAAGAGGAAAAACTTCAAATACGTAACCTAATAACACATCTTAAAGAATTAGAAAAGCAAGAGCAAACCAAACCCAAAGTTAGTAGAAGAGGCCAGCAATTTGAGAGGCTGAGGCTGGCAGATTGCTTGAGCCCAGGAATTTGAGACCAGCCTGGGCAACATTGCAAAACCCCATCCTTATAAAAAATACAAAAATTAGCTGGGCGTGGTGGTGCACACCTGTAGTCCCAGCTACTCGGGAATCTGAAGTAGGAGGATCACTTGGGCACCAGGAGGTTAAGGCTATGGTGAGCTATAATCATGCACCTGCGCTTTGGCCTGCATGACAGAGCAAGACTCTGTTTAAAAGAAAAAACTTAGTAGAAGAAAATAAATAATAAAGATTAGAGCAGAAATAAATGAAATTGAAATGAGGAAAACAATACAAAAGGTCACTGAAACAAACAGTTGGTTTTTTTAAAAGATACACACAATTGACAAACCTTTAGTCAGACTAAGAAAAAGAGAGAAGACCCAAATAAATAAAATCAGAGGCAGCTGGACAAGGTGGCTCATGCCTATAATCCTAGCACTTTGGGAGGGTGAGGTAGGCACTTGAGCTCAGGAGTTTGAGACCAGCCTGGGCAACATGGTGAAACCCCATCTCTACCAAAAATATAAAAAATTAGCCAGGTGTGGTGGTGCATGCCTGTGGTCTCAGCTACTTGGGAGGCTGAGGTGGGAGGATTGTTTGAGCCAGGGGAGGCAGAGGTTGCAGTGAGCCAAGATTGCACCACTGCACTCCAGCCTGGGTGACAGACCATATCTCTAAAAAATAAAATAAAATTAGAGATGAAAAAGGAGACATTACAACTGATGCCACAGAAATTCAAAGGATCATTTGTGGCTACTATGAGCAACTATATGCCAATAAATTGGAAAATCTAGAGGAAATGGATAAATTCCTAGACATATATAACCTACCAAGATTGAACCATGAAGAAATTTGAAACCTAGACAGACCAATAACAAGTAACAAGATCAAAGTTGCAATAAAATGCTACTGATTTTTGTATGTTGATTTTGTATCCTGCAACTTTACTGTATCCTAAAGTTCTTTTCCTCCCCATAAAGAAAAGCCCAGGACCTTGCAATGGCTCACACTTGTAATCCCACCACTTTGGAATGCCGAGATAGGTGGATCACAAGGTCAGGAGATCGAGACCATCTTGACTAACATGGTGAAACTCCGTATCTACTAAAAATACAAAAAATTAGCCGGGCATTGTGGCGGGTGCCTGTAGTCCCAACTACTTGGGAGACTGAGGCAGGAGAATGGCGTGAACCCAGGAGGTGGAGCTTGAAGTGAGCAGAGATTGCGCCACTGCACTCCAGGCTGGGTGACACTGCGAGACTCCGTCTCAAAAAAAAAAGAAAAAAGAAAAGAAAAGAAAAGCCCAGGACCTGATGGCTGAATTCTACCAAACATTTAAGGAAGCATTAATACTAATCC